GAAGAAGAAAGAGGAGGAGGAGAAGAAGACGACGAAGAAGAAGAAACAGGAAGAGAAGGAAGAGGAGAAGACGAAGAAGGAGAAGGAGGAGAAGAAGAAAGAGCAGAAGGAGGAGGAGAAGAAGAAGACAGAGAAGAAGAAGAAGAGGAAGGAGAAGAAAGAGGAGGAGGAGAAGAAGAAGAAGAGGAGGAGACGAAGAAGGAGAAGGAGGAGAAGAAGAAAGAGGAGGAGAAGAAGACGAAGAAGAAGAAGAAGAAGAGGAAGAAGAAAGAGGAGGAGGAGGAGAAGAAGGAGGAGGAGGAGGAGAAGAAGAAAGAACACAGTACTCCGAGAAATGGGGACAGAAATGAGTATATTGAACAACAATTGGATAGAATTAGAAACGAAGGCCCAAGCGAGAGTGGGTTGGAGAATGCTGGTCGGTAGCCTATGCTCCATTGGAGGTAACAGGCGTTAGTAAGTAAGTAAGTATCCATCAGGTGTATGACAATCATACATGCACATATTTCACTTCCTTACAGATAAAGGTCCTACTCTGTTATACAACTTCTCATCAGATAAATACATATTGATCATAAGTATGTTCATTCATGCATTCAATGTTCTATCATTCTTGTTATTAAGATTTTTCAGTTCATTTTGAATTATTTATTCAACTCAATTTCACTAACTAAAGTATGTTAAATAATCGTTTACAATGATATTAATCACCGTAAATTTAACATGTTTATAGTTGATTTAGAAGTAATGAAATTCTCTTTGAATTTATCAACTGATCTGATTATATGAATCAGTAGTGTTTAGTATTGAAAATGAAGTCATCAAAAAACGGTTTCCTCTTCAATAGATTGACATTTATTTATAGTAAAATTAACAGTTTTACCAGTAAAGAGATTTGTGGAGATTATAGTATCTACACAGTTTACTAGTCGATCTAAGCTAGATCCTCTCAATGTAAACTCGGAAGCACTCAGTCAGTAACAACGTAGAACTTCGTACGTACGTACATCAGTTCGAGTTGCCACACCACATTAGCACAGGGATGCAGTTGTCGATTCAAATCCCGTAATGGTAGAGGCGGTAAGAGTATAAGCAGTGATCGGAAAGATTAGGGCTTGAAGATGTTATTTAAAAAGTATAATCCATTGAAATAAATTTGAAAAGAGATAAAAAGCGACATGGATAATTCAACAGATTAGAATTCGGGAGAACACAAAGTGTGGATGCACCTGCGCCATTGCAAACGATTTTCAGCCATGTCATTCAGGGTATCTGATCATCGATTGCAATCATCTCGCGGTCCCTAACCAAGTAGTATACACCTACCAACATGGCTCAGTCCACCTGTCAGTGACTTCATGGATTTGTGCCATGTTTTGGTTTGGCCGCCCTTAGCTTTCTTCCAACCTACTCCTACACCAGAAAACATCGCACGTCGAGGCAGTCGGTGGTTGGGCATACGTAACACGTGTCCCAGCCATCTCAACTGATGAAGTCTCACTACTTCATTAGTTGATTTGTCATCCTTACCTAGTACCTGTTTCTGTTATGACCTTGGGTATGTCTGGTTTGCAATCACGCGACCTATCTACCAATCCGGATACGACTTATACGAATTTCACACTAGGCCAACCAATGACGTTCAACCGGTGTGGGCAGTCTAGCGTCCTTATTGGTCCTATGTACTACGAGCCCTTCCACTTGAGTCCAGAACACAATACCAGCTTCGAATCAGAGCAGTTCAGAGCAGATCGTTTATTTCAAACATACTCGGTTTATATATCAAACAGACAGACCACAACACACCATAAATTAGGAAATAACATATGTACACAAATAAGCCAAAAAGTGGCTGTGAACGAGGGGGACAGTAATTAATAGACTGAACATAGTTTAAGAACCGTAAATCGTACAATAATAAATTATAGATCAAAATAAAGCTTATAATAAGAGGAATATAAATATACATAATCTAATGATTGAATAGTTTTACAATAAGAATATTTATAGAATATTAGTCCACTAATAGTCCTCGGGAGTTACCTGTAATTAAATCTTCGCTCGGATATAACAGTTTCCTAACAAATGTGTTACTTACTCGATGGTCCCAGGACATGTTTCGAAGACACCTATGATCAAATACTAGTAACCTACGAATATCCTCTACTCTTACCAGCCATGTTTAACTAGCATAAAGTAGAACGGAACGAACTGCTGTCTGTTTCATCCTAGTATGGGATTTCTCAGCAATGTGCATCCATGATCCCTCACGAGTGGTTCGAAACCAAAATCTTAGGTGGTTTAACTTAGATCGACTCATGAATTTAGCTGTGTAAACAGTTTTAGTTTTATTCTATATTTACTACTGTATTTATTCACGTATTAAAACATTAATATATGTTATATCCCTATGAGAATAATGAATGGTAACTGTTGGGATCTATTTCTTGACTAATGTAATACGTATATTATTGTATAATTTTTAAGTAACTAAACTATGTACATTCATATTCCTCTTAATATAAGATTCATTTTGATCTATAAATTATTATTATAGGATTTAACATTCTCTTGAGTTATGCCCAATTTGCCAATTACAGTTACTTTTGACTAAATCTTGTACAAATGTTGTTTCCTATTTTACGGTATGATGTGATCTGTCTGGTTGGTATATAAACCCAGTATGTTTAAAATGCATGATTCATATCGCAGAGGTTGAGGTTGATGTTCTGTACTTAACAAGCGGAGCTAGGGTAGGGGAGGAATGACCGATAAAAACTATAGACAGCTCGTACTTGTTTTATGCGTCATTAGTCCGGTCGATAAACCATTGTTCTCTAATTGGCGGTATCATTACTTTATACATTGATAGGAGTAACAGGGCATAAGTTATAATAATATTATTGTAATGCAAGGAAAAAAGAAGAAAAGTAATGCATAGCTTATATTTCATGTAGGTCATTATAGAAGACGAACTAAACAGAAATGCATATTCCAACAAAATTTTACTATCATCCAAGATATCATACACTCAAGTGAACAATTTAGTTATGAATGATGTGAACAGAACCAAATCAATATTTCATACAATTGAGGGAAAAACAAAGCAAGATTTGTACAATAAAATGATTTCATTATTGTCTATTTCAAGATTACTTATCAGTGGTAAACTATAATTTATGGATGAACATCGAGAGACGCTAAAGTAACCTTGAGAGTGTCCATCTAATAACTAGGACCAAATGAAGGTTATAAACCAATGTGAGGAATTCGAATTATGATTTACAATTGATGGTTAGGGTTAGGAATTAGATTTACGGTTTTCATCACGAACTGACATCAGCTATAATGCCAAAACTTTATTTAGGCAAATGGATGAATGAATTTCATGTCGAAATTCGAGACCTGTTATCTTATACCTGATTGATCCGTCCATAAATTATAGTCTCGCCATCTAAAACTACAGGGAGGTTTATTAATATTAGCTATAAATAGGAGTTGAACCTAGTTTAGTTAGTGAATTTGAGAAATATAAGTGTTGGAAATGGAATCAAACATCATACATAAGAAGAATCGAATATAAAATATAAGATGAAACATAGCTCTATGGTTCTATTGCTTTCACTATATTATGTCGAATGTTCGTTATAACATTCAATTGTAGATCAATACTCGTCCGATGTTACCTACAGTTGTATCTATGAATTAACATATATTTGATGAAAGACAAAGAAAAGGGTTTCTCTCAGGTGATCTGAATTAATTGTTAAGAACTTATCTTTGTAAGTAAATTTTTTATCATTCCAATTGATATACATTTGATGGATCCATTTGATGAACAACGTATATAAATAGTTTATGGAATACATTAACAGACAATTAACATTAGTCTTACTCTGTTTGCCAATTCTGATTGTTAACAAACGCATTCAACCTGATGCATATGTATTGAAAGTAATTGTAATAAGCTTTTCATTACCATAATGACCATGACCATTTAACTTTCTTTATCTCTTATGTAGTTGATATTCACATGATAATTATACTATCATTCTAACTACTTTGAATAATTATGCAATCACTCAGTTTCATTACAACTATGTAATCCATTATTTCTCTAATGTCGTGGGTGAGTATTGTTGTGGAGTTCCTTACTAGAACAAAAAACAGCATTTTAGTGCTTCCAGATTTTTAATTGGTTGTCAAAATTTAATCGTTTTGTGATTTGAATAAAATTCAACACTCTTCATAATCTTATACTGGTTTCCTTTAATCTTCTTCAATAATATTCAACATCTTCGTAGACATCATACTTAACTATGTTTCTTATGATTTTCGAGATCAAAGGCCCTAGGTTCGAACACCGTGAGCAAGATAATGGATACACACTGTTGAGGAGTTCCACAATAGGACGAAACGATCGTCCAGTGCTTTCAGATTTTCAATGATGGTCTAACATCAATTGATTCATGATTACAATAAAAAACAACTTAATTATAGTCTGTTTGCAGTCGATAAGAAGCTTTGAAATAGAAAATAATGAATCCAGCTTATTATGAAAATGTCATTTTTGTTCCGTATAAAATGAAGAATACAAGAAACACTTCCATACACACACACACAAAATAAGTGAATAAATAAATACACTTAGTATATGGGAAATAATTAGAAATGAAGATGATAACAGCACACAAGATCTATAAAGCGTTTACAAAATGTAATGTAAACATTATAGCTAAAATGAAGAGAAAATAAAGCACACACCTACCGGGAACATTATGTGTTTCAGCCTTCTTCTAAAGTATTAAAATCAATATTACACTTTAATGTAATTGAAAAGTGTCTACATGTGAATATTTTATCCTTTTGTAATATGAATACCTTCCCCCCTCCCCCAGCGTTTAGGAAAGGGAAGAAGTAATTATTAACAAACAATTCAGTATCCGTTTGAACAATTTGATTCATGTTAGGGTTTCTTTTTTTATCAAACAGTTGGTCATCAACTTGTGTAATTCTTTTTTTTAAAGTCGCAGCTTAAATACTAACGAATATAACAAGATGAAAAGGATTTCTATTTACATTTTGGCGATTTATCTGTCAACCTTATCAAGTAGGAATATTCATAGATTAAATGAAGTTTTGTGAAGAATGTTTTAATGTTTAAATGATAATCACTCGGGGAATTCCTTCCATCCCTTAACCTTCGAAACTACTAACTTAGCATCCAACAAATGAAGCCTGAATTGCATCAATATACTTATCGTTTAAGAGTCCTTTTATTATGATGAAACAGCCAATAAGTTTATTGTATAACTATCTCACATAATGTTTCTGTGAAGGTTTGCATTTATAGAAACAAATGTTACAATAATAGTGAGAATGATTAAATATTTAGAATAGGATTCAAGAAGACATAATGAAAATAGTATGTATGACAGAATACCAGGACTGAATTTATAGAGAAAGATATGTATAGAGTGAATTCATTCGTAACGGGGAGACTGATTCTGTATCATGTTACGCAATTACTCCGACCACGGATTATGGTTACCACTCCAACACCAACCAGTTAATCTACATCTACCAACAGTTAATAACTTCATGTATTGATACAACTCCTTGATTTAACCGCTCCTAATTTTCTCACATTGTACTTTTACACTAGTTAACATAAAGCGCCGAAGTAGGTTTTGGTTGGGTATACGTTATACGTGTCCCAACCATCTCAGTCAATATGCATTCACTATCCCATGGTTTCATGATACTCACCCGGTTGTTCCACCATATCAAAGTACCACCGTGAAGAAAACTATGATCAGGAACTTGGCGCTTACATATATATTCCACTTTGATCGATCATACTTCATAACCACTGAGAAATACAAAGATGACTGCTAAGCTGTACATTGACACCGTTTGTTAACAAATGGACATATCATCTACTCCACAACTAACACAAGCTGCAAGAGTTCTAATGAAATTTCTGAATGATTATCATTATCGCTCGATTTCGTGGATTAGTTGAAGTTAGATATTAACACCGTTGGATGCTGGCTCAGTGGTTTAGTAATTAAGCGCTCGCGCGTAAAACTGTTAAGTCTTGGGTTCAAATCTCACGAGGCGAGATCGTCGATGCGTAATGCTGAGGAGTCCCATAATAGGACAAAACGGCCGTTCAATGCTTCCAGGTTTTCCATGGTGTTCTAGCTTCAATTGACTCATGATCTCAACTATTGAAATTATTATCTAACTGTTGATTGCTAACCTAAATGAGATGCATATTTTATTATCAGAATGGGATTTGTGTAGATTGTAGTAATTTTGATAGTTGAATTCATGAGTCAAACTAAGTTAGATCATAGCTTACGGAATTCGAACCCAAGGATTGTGGATGCGTACTATTGAAGAGTTCCATACTAGATCAGTCAGTCAGTAACAACGTAGAACTTCGTACGTACGTACATCAGTTCGAGTTGCCACACCACATTAGCACAGAAATGCAGTTGTCGATTCAAATTCCGTAGTGGTAGAGGTGGTAAGAGTATAAGCAGTGATCGGAAAGATTATGGTTTGAAGATATTATTCAAGGAGTATAATCCATTGAAATAAATTTGAAAAGAGATAAAAAAGCGACATGGATAATTCAACAGATTAGAATTCGGGAGAACACAAAGTGTGGATGCACCTGCGCCATTGCAAACGATTTTCAGCCATGTCATTCAAGGTATCTAATAATCGATTACTGTCATCTTGTGGATCCCAATCAGGTAGTCTACACCTACTAATCATACTAGGACGAAACGACCGTTCAATACTCTCAAGTTTTTAATGATGGTCTAATTTAGATCAAATTATGAATTCAAGTATATTTTAATAATCAGTAATATTTAAACTAGACATGAAGAATATTGATAAAATAAACGAATCATAATAAGTAATTACATAGAGAAAAAACATAATTCAATGAACTTACACGTTCATGTGCTTGTTGACGATAAAGATTCTCTTTAATTAATACTGTAAAATATAAAGTTATAAAAGATAGAATCAATAAGCATGTGATAAAAAGAATGCAAGAATGTGTTATATCTATATATATGTAAAAATTAATTAGACATCATACGAAAAAAAAACAAAAACAAATCTTAGTTACATAAACATTTATCATTTCTGTAATCAATTACATAAAGAGGGGATAGCTGGAAATTAATAATACTGGTCTAGGTGTGTTACTATAATTGTGTAATAAATTATTGTCTATTGCTTAGTGTAATGGAATAGGACTATCATATTGATGTATGGATGAAAAATGAGACTATAGAAGAAGATTAGTTTATTTATTATGAATTAAACGATATATATATATATGCTCTAGAGAAATGTTTCCGGGGCTCTATGCGACTCGACAGAAATGAGCATTTACAATCCCGTCAGCAATTGAATACACATAATCCTCAGGTTTCATTGATGAGAATTCAACAGGAGAATTATCGAGTTGAAAGTTAACTGGTCAATTTTTCAAACCCGGTCAATTCAAGAAGCAACATGAACATCATTCATTGCCATTAACGATATTTGTCTAACTTTCAAATATCAATGGTCATAGCTTCTCACTAAGGATAACCTCTCAAAATAATCAACAGTGAGCAAAAGTGAGTAATATCCGGAAATATTTAAAGCTAGATACCTAAATTGTTGAGTTTTGGGGTTGAGGAGATGTGGTTCTAATATGAGAACACGTATGTCCTACATTTTACTACTAACCACAATCCGTTTATTCTACAAAGAACCTTGGATCATATTTATCAGTATTACAGACAGTATTTAGATCGATTATCTAAGATTTATCCAAGTGGATACTGATTTTTGTCAAGAAATTGAGAAATCTCATTCTAAATCGGTCAGTTTTAGGAATGTTCTTAGATTGTGTAACACTAAGAAGCCGCCGAACCCAGTTTTCACTGGGTACATTGATCTACGAAATAAAATCCAGATAATTCATGGTATTCATCAAGTAATCACAAATAATAATAAATATTTTGAAACAATAGTTGGTTGAAATTATGATTCATTCACACAAAACATTCAAGAGCATGTTATGTTGAATGTAGTTAGTTATAGCTAGAATAAATATCTCAATGACTAATTATTGATAACAAAACTATTTCATCAGATGTAGAGTGTTGATGTCATATATTGTTTAATTGATCTAATAGCAAAATTCCGTTGGTTTATTTCTATCGGTTACTTCTTATTGGCACATCAAGTCTAAAGAAAAATGACCAACATTCAAGGCTAGACATACAAGAAATTCTTCACTATTTAGTGATTAATCGACAGAAATTTATTGAAGTACTACAGGAGGCCATTTGAAGCTTAAACAGTTCATTGATAATATCACGGACTATGAAAATAGGTGCCGAAGGCTAGAATCTCATAAGAAGTATCGGTTCCTTAGGGATAATGCGTATACTTTGCTGACAGGTGTCAACTAGCATGTATCATAGGGTCCCACAGTCCTCCTGTTGACCATTAAGCGACACATGAAATAACTGTTCCCTAGGTGTTCTGTTTTAATACTAATGCATTTTTACATATTCGCCTATATGAACATACCTGTCAAAATTGTTCCAATTAGTGTTAGTCCTGTAAGAAATAAATTTCCAGGCAAAACTCCATAATTTGTTCTCAATGGTGTTGCAACATGAATCAGTATAAGGCCAAATATCTGACGTTAGGTTTATGAGAGAAAGAAAACAATAAACAAACAGAATATATATATAGGGATGATTATGTAATAAACTCTGGCATACATTTAGACTATATTTACAATAACAGGCAATTTTGTTAGTCATGGGATATTTATCGAAATCTTATTATGTATTTTCTATTAAGTAAAATGTATTTGACTTGATATGTATGTATTTTGAACAACATAGATAGCCACAAGAATCTTTTATACAAGTAAGAAAGTAGACAGTATTCAAACTTGCTATTCAGTTGTTGAACACTTCATGCATCAAACCATTTACCAACTATTTACACTGTCAAAAAAGATTGAAAAATACATTGATATATTTCACCGTCATGGTAAAATATGGCACATAATGAAATGTAATTGACCTGTAGTGATAACTAGATTTTAGTTACAAGAGAATATAACTTTAAATGATTAAGTTTTCTTAGAATTCAGTCTTTCAAGTATATAGAGAAACGTTATCACTTAAGGAGATTATGAAACGATTGACCTATATTTAGTTATTGTTTACGACGATCTGTACAGAATGTCAGCCTATGAGGTCATCAACAGTTCCACTTATTCTGTATATGGATAAACATATTCTTCAGTTGTAAATCTTGAGTGACATAACTTGAGCTTAGGGATTGATTTCTTTTAAATTATATATGAGATGATTAAGAATATTTACAACTACTGAGGATCTTTTAAGTTTTGAAATTTCATTCTCTGAGCTCAATAGTTTAATTATGAAACTTTTATTATCTTTCTGAACAACAACATCATCATGATCAGAAAAAAAACTTCAGATAGAAGTGAACTATTCAAATTTCTCCACATACTTAACAATCTATTCTGTTGATCTTAAATATGATCAATTGTTATTGTTGATCCTTTTTCTATCAATGTCAGATCACTTACTGACTCCCTTTCATAAACTGACAATTTCTTTCTGTGGTCGCGTTGAGATGAACTGTAACAACTAGGATTAGCATGCATATATATATATATATACCAATCTTTTGCTTTCAAACATTCCACTTCTGGCTGATGTTATGTACTACCTATATAGACATAAGTAGCATGCTTTACAGTAAATTGTTCACTATTCATTGATTAATATATATAATAACATTTACCTGTGCTGATGTATTCAACAGACCAGAAGATAAACCTTCACTTTCTGGATAAGTTAATTCAGCGGCTAATTCAAAACCAATACTTAAATAACCGGTCATAAAGAAACTGAAATAAGTAGTAAGAGAAATTTATTAAAAAACAAAGTGAAATTATCATAGATAAACGAATTAACAAAGAAGTTTATAGAGTAGACAAAAATTAAGATAGTATGATTAGGATTTATATACTACTGAAAAATTGTTTTGTTCAAGTAAGATGTTGTAACGTTATGGCCGCTAGTTATCATGTAATTTATTCGCCAATCAAAATACGAAGGATTCAATGTTGTACTGTACTAAACCAATGACGTTCGACCGGTATGAGCAGCCTAGTGTCCTATTGATCCCTTACTCGTCTAGTTGAGTCCAGAACGACTAATACAGCTTCCACTATGCGAATCATTTATTTCAGGCATACTGGGTTTATATATCAACCAAACAGCGTTTTTGTGGATATGATAGTAATTTCAATGGTCATGAGTCAATTGAAGCTAGAACACCATGGAAAACCTGGAAGCACTGGACGGCCGTTTCGTCCTATTGTGGGACTCCTCAGCAGTGCGCATCGATGATCTCGCCTCGCGAGATTCAAACCCAAGACCTAACAGTCACGCGCGAGAGCGCTTAACCACTAGACCACTGAGTCGACATTTATTTACCGACTACAAACTCAACACCTTAATGTGAGAACATGGAATGTAAGTAGCGAAATTCACTACAGTAGTGTAAATCCAGTTACAAATAACGTGTTGTACTGTACACTTGCTTCTGTATATGTTTTCTTTTTTGATAACAGTTTTCTAGGATAATATAATATTCACCATCATTTATCAATATATTTCTTTGTAAGAAATGATGAAACTCATTAGTGCTGATTTGAAGTAATCAGCAAGAAAGCCTCAACTTAAGTTTCTTGCTAGTCGGAGCTAGTTGTAATTAACGTCTAATTGTAATATTGAAAGAACTGTTTCTCCCTATCTGATTGCAAAGATTATTATTCAGTATCGTGCAGGTTGTAATGTCAGTTACTATGTTAAGCCCGTATAACTTATTCTGGCTTCTGAACAGGTCATTTTATCCATTCTTCTTGAGTCATGTTTTGACCTTGTTAGTTATTCACTTATCAACCTTGACTGTTTTTATATGAGCGTATATGTGTGTACATCTTACCCTACGAACAGAAACTCCATGTGTGTAAATCCCAATCCACTCATCGCTAATAGACGCTATTTACTCTACTACGGCTTATTAGAACATGTTCATATTCCACTATTCTTGATCTTTATATTCTGTCAGCATCACAGACCAATTTTTGTTATAATCTACTCTACTTATTTTCATAACTTATTCCGCTATCATACACGTAAACGATATAATACTCTGTTTTCACGATATTTTGAATCGCTCATAAAATCGCGTCATTTCTCTTCGCTTCGTCCCTCTGGTTGCCTGTTCAGATTATTGAGTGTACAAAATATACGTATTCATAATTCTGTTATACTCTAACAAAAGTTAAATCGATGATTATATACAAGGATAGGCAACATTTATACTGAAATGACATTCATACGATCTAATTGGAGTCAGATATAGGATTACAAAAAGGGTAACATTGTTTGTTCAAGATTGTTAGCGTGGTAAGTCTTTACTAACATTGTACCTAGGACTAAAGATACTTTTAATAATTGGGCTTCAATCACATACACACACACACGAACACACACTTCATTAAAAGTATGAAATACAATTGATATCTCCGGTCTCATTATTATATAATTTGATCGATAGAATGGGATCAACTTTTATACTGTTTTATGATTCAATCTTGTTTGTTCTACTTCAATTCACTTAGATGTTTTTTCTTTTGTTGCTTCAATCAAAGAGAAAAATTATTGAATATATCAGTTAAAGATTTATATAATAGAACTGTATTCATATTGTAACGTGTAACTGCCTATATTTCATTGTATTTTCTTGAAGGTTTGACGTTAGATGTGAACAGTACTAAGTGTTCAATGAATCATGTTAACTAGGCGTTAGTAGATTCAACTACTTTTTATATATTTATTACAGAAACAATTGTATTGAATTACTGAGAAACTTCTATTGAAATATTCGTCAATATTTGGTTCTTGATAGTTTATAATGAAAAGCCAATTTTCGCAGTTGAATTCACGAGTCGATCTAAGTTAGACCATCATTGGATAAATTGAAGTACTGAACGGTCGTTTCATCCTAGTATGAGATTCCTCAGCAGTTCGTATCCACGATGCCGCACATGGAACTCAAATACAGGACCTTCGGTTTCTCGTGATAACATTTAACCTCAAAACCATTGAGTCGGCATTCAACGGTATGAATGTCTAATTTCAACCAATCCCATACTAGGACAAAACAACTGTCCAGTGCTTCCAGGTTTTCCATGGTGACCTAGCTTCAAATGATTCATGAATTTATACAATTTAATCAAACGGTTTCGAAATATCTAGTTGAAGTGAAATATTGTCTGCAAATGTAAACTTTATCAGTAAATATGATGTTTATTTCTTCTTCAAATAATATGAGATATTTATTGAAATATCCTACAAGACGAATAAGAACTCAGTTAGTTAGGGTTAAGTAGAGTAGGTATCTGGAACATATATGGATCTGTTAGGGTGAGAAAAACAATTAACTGTTTGAATTAGTTCATTTTCTAGTTTATTATAAAGTAGAACACAAAGTTACTACTACTATGAATAGTATGCAAAGTTTTGTCTCTTCAGTAAATTTAATTTACACTCCTCATTTTAGAGGTAGCTGAAAATGTACTGGCTTTAACTAAATGAGTAGTTCTTAGCAATTAAAGATTAAGATATTAACCTTCAATATTTATACAGCCAAAAGAAGTGAAACATTTTTGAAGGGTAGAGTTCGTTTTGATTGTGGAACCAATAAATTGACTATACAAGTTTGATTATGATAAATTTAAGAGAAAAGAACGAAGATTGGTGCAGTTGTGGTGTGAGTTACTTATATCCACATAAGTAGTATATAACGATAGTAAAGAAAAGAATATATTTCAGTAGATCATGGAGGCAAGAATGTGAACGGAAAGTAATTGATATGAAAATGCAGAAACAATGAAATCTAAGACGATGAACTGATATTTGCATAGAAACAGTCAAGTTTGAGACAATTGATTGAGATTTTGCAAATTAAGTATTTACTCTACAGTTCTTAGATCTAAGTGAGATATTCTGTAATTTCGACTACCCCACTCGTGTTTGTGTTCGCTATGCAATTAATAAGGCCACGATCTCGTCATGATACATAAATAGCCATCTTTAATCAGCTGGTAAGAACCTAAGAAAATAAAATGAATTCATATTATTCTGCAACAATCATCGTTCGTGCTCTCTTTATGGTAATAAAGGGAACTATGCATATGAAATATTATAACGTTTTTGATTACCTTGTATTTTAGAATGATTAATTCAATTAAGCACATCTATAGTAGCCTTAGCATATTTGATGTGTAGTTATCTGTGGGATTCGGGATATATGTTTCGGGTTCTATTTGGAAATCATCCACTAGATTTTACCTTCTATCATTTAGTTGTTTTCAAATTTTTATTTATTTTTTCAAGGTTACAGTGAGTGTAAACTATTATTTATTTAGTTAAACGTATAAACATTGATACAAAGCGGCACCAAATAGATTTGCGCCACATAAATCGTTCGATCTGTGTGAGGGCGAGAATAATGCCTTAGTGCCCAAACCGAAGGGGGTGGTTTTCTCAGGAGGCCACACTTCGAGTCTGTGACCTAAAAGTCTAATTTACAAGGCAGTGGAGCAGTGTCATGTGATGCGGTCACACGGTTACCGGTGACCAACAATAGGTTTATACGCCATTTGTTCCTTCAGGATCCTGGAGCCAATGTGAAACATTGGTTTGGAATAAGGGTTTTCCAACCCTACTGGATAGACTCTCCGTATCCACCAACCCGATTAAAGCACCAAACATCCATTTGTCGTCCTCTCAATTTCGTAAACAACACCGTTGATGAGAGAAGGCAGCAAGTAGCACTTCCCTGTCAGTGATTGTATAGATGTAGCCATGTGAGAGCATTTCGATATAGCGAGAGAGAGAGTTGTCTCTCACCACTCTCAACCATACTAGGGCATTTAAAGGCTTAAAACAAATGAAATACTATTCAACTGAACAATATTTTAATCTATCTTCTTATTCTCTTCTCTAGTCAACTGTCAGAAATCTTTCTTACACTACATCAGCTTCAATTAACCACAATTGAATTCATTTAAACATTCATTGTATCATTAGTTAAGATCATAAGGCATATATATAAGAGATTATAACTTACCCTAAACAGAACATAATGATAAAGACTATTGGCATTGAACGAAGATATAATATTCCAGTAAAGATTCCCATAAACAATAAACTAAGTATATATATAATGCATGTGATTAATCTAAATGAAACCAAATAATATAAAATCAATAATTAGTTTAGATAAATGACTGATTATGTGTATACCATATTCTCTTTACATCAAGATAAAATCATTGAACTGAGCAAGTACAAAAGTGTAGTTAATATTCAATTATGTTAGATGTAAGATAGACTGAGATGGTGTAGGAACAAAAATCAAACCAATGGGAGACAACCAAAACAAAGAAGTAAACAATAACAAATTTAAGGTCAATAAGAACCAATCAACATCGAGGTGCACAGAACAAGCTGTGAAACACATATGGAGAAATTCGAACACTTCACTTCTATATGAAGTTTGTGCTGATGATGTCGTTCTGAAGAACGAAGGAAGCTCCATGACCAAACCATTCAGCTCAGAGAACAAAACTCCACCAAAAAAATAGATTTTGCGGATGAATTATTTGGATAATTTCTCTGAATTTATCAAAATTATAATTAATAATCATTGTACAGATAACAACTTAGTATGTTGTGATGGACATTGTCCCAAATCTGATACTGATACACGGTGTGCTATGTGTTAACACCCCCCTCACAGTCCTTCGTAGTGACTATTTGAGTGAGAACACAAGAGTAATCAAAAAAGTGTATTAGATTATCGAATCACATTATACAAATACTTATTCATATATATGTGTTATAACTTGGACCCTCTGTCCTAATAATATATGAAGTAATGATAACGCCAATTCGGGAACAGTGACTTATCGGCTGAACTAATGACACATAAAACCCATATGAGCAGTCTATAGTCCTTATCGATCCTTTTCCCTCCCTAGCCCTGTCTGCCCGTTGAGTACAGAATAGCAATCTCAGCCTCCGCGATATGAATCATTATATTTCAAACCTACTGAGTTAATATACAAACTAAACAGACCACATTATATCATAAAATAGAAAACAACATTTTTATAACATTTAGCTCAGAACTAACTGTGAATGTGGGAGAGTGTCATTAATCGACTGGGCATAACTCAAGAATGGTAAATCGTATAATAATAGTTCATAGGTCAAAATAAAACTCATAATAAGAGGAACATGAATATTGACCGTTTAGTTATTTAACACTTATACAATAAATATATATGTATAATATTAGTCCAGAAATAGACTCCAACAGTTACCATTCATTATTCTCATCATGATATAACAAATATGATACTCTAATCTTTAGGAAATTAGTCTATTTCATAATCAATGAAATATACTTGTCTTTTAGATCAGTTATGATTGTCATCAATTGACTTTCTTATTATAGTTTACCTCTGATGATTAACTCTCCCATATCAGATTATCTAATATAGTTATTTATCTATATCATTACTTATTATGACATTTAAGATATATGTAGTATTATTATTTTCATTATCACATAGTGAATGAATTAATGTTTTCACACCAATTAGTCTTCAAAGTAGACCTTTCATTACTTATTCTCATCGTTCATAATTCTCTCACTTAATGTTAATTGATCATATTGCATAAATGGATGTGATTACATCTTAGATACAGAATATACTTGAACACATTTACCATGAGCAAAAAAAGTGTTTTTCTACAATCAATCAAAACTAAAAACCAGAAAAAAACAACTTTTTTCTTTCAAGAAATAGAATGATTTCATCTATAAAAAGAAAACAACATAACAAGATACCAGTGAGGGGGTAAGGGTTATGAATAGTATAGTAATTTTTAATAGGTGAGATTATGATTCATTTGAAGCTAGAATACCATGGAAAACCTGAAAGCACTGGATGGCCAATTTGTCCTATTCCCAGCTCAGTGGTCTAGTGGTTAAGTGCTCGCACGCGAGACTGATAGGTTCTAGGTTCGAATCCCGCGAGGTGGGTCGAGGATGAACACTACCACAGAGGAGTCCCATAATAAGACAAAATGGCCGTCCAGTGCTTCCAGGTTTCCCATGGTGTTCTGGCTTCAATTCAATCATGATCTCAACTATTGGAATTTCTTTATGTATGTTGTTTACGCCTGTTACTCCTCGTGAAGGAGCATAGGTCGCTCACCAGCATTCTCCATCCAACCCTGTCCTAGGCAATCCTTTCCAGCTCCTTCCAGTTCCTATTTATTTATTCATTTATTTGTTCGTTTGTTTAACGTGTTATTACTGAACTATAACCAACTAACTGAATAACCTTCAACTTCACTGAACTTTCTGCATAGAAACATAAAACAACTAGTTACTTATCGTTGTTAAATCTTATGCAAATCTTATTCATAATCCGGTTAAGTGAAAAGAAAAGAAAGCTATTTGGTGTATTTTACTTAGATCAATGTTAAACTTGTCACTAGTGAGCACATAGTAATTATCAGTATAGGGTTGTGGAGGTTATTAAGTTTTTGACTGAGACTGAAATAACTGTCCAGTGTTTCCAGGTTTTCAATGGTGGTCTAGCATCAATCGGTTTATGATCTCAGTCAAAAACGTAATAATCTCTACAATCATATACTAATAATAATGAAGAGACATTTAATTGCATTTTATAGAAATATGTAATGTCATAGGTGTTGTAATGTTGAACATAAGATAAATGTATAAAAAACTTATATCTATATGAAGTCAATTACAAGAAACCGATTGTATGTCTGATCATACAGATATAGATTACATTACCATAGGCAAATAGTAAACTTCATCTTACTTCAACTATGTGCATTCTGTCATTAAAACTTATAATTCATACTTTGATGTCTTTAATAATAACGAAAGATTTCAATTGTATTTAAAAATGTCACTAGTCCTTTAGGATTATCTGAGATACTTTAAAATGTATCCACTTAATCAACAATACTAATTATACATTGTACCTGATAATGAAATATCTTCTTTCACAGTTTGTTATGTTATCGATGAGCTGTTTAAACTACCGCTGAAATCCAGTAGCACTGAAATATTTACACTATTTGGTCAATGAGTAATGATCTACGTTATGTTTGTCTAATATGTAGAGTTGATTAAATTCTGTCGATAAAGTTGCAATCTGAATACGAGTCTATGTGATTCAATAACAAGTACACAAATTTTAGAGGATTGGTGGATACCAGACAAACTATAAAGCAATTGAGATGCAACAAAAACAGTTAGTTATCTCATGAGTACGGCGACACCTATTTGATATGTGTTAAACAACTAGAAACCCAGTTCCAGGTTTTTCTGTCGACTATTTTCAAACAGCTAACACTTTCCATCGTAAGTTACATTGCTGTTTTTTATATACTACATAACTCAATGATATAAAAGAAAAAAACATTTATACTACCCAAATCACGTTCAATCATAACTATTATTGATCTGTCAACTGACATAACTTTAAAAAAACACAGGTCAATGTTTTGTCTCGATCTAGATAGGTTTAACGCTGGTCTAAGTAAAATACATCAAATAACTTTCTTTTCTTTTCATTTAACCAGATAATGAAAAAGATTTGCATAAGATTTCACAACGATAAGTAACTAGTTGTTATATGTAAATATGAAGAAAGTTCAGTGAAGTTGAAGGTTATTCAGTTAGTTAGTTAGTTAGTTATAATTCAGTAATAACACGTTAAATAAATAAATTTCAATAGTTGAGATCATGATTCAATTGAAGCTAGATCACTATGGAAAACCTGGAAGCACTGGACGGCCGTTTTGTCCTATTATAGGACTCCTCTGTGGTACTGCGCATCCACGATCCCACCCCTGCGAGATTCGAATTCAGGACCTATCAGTCTTGCGTGCGAGCGCTTAACCACTAGATCACTGAGCCGGCAATAGGACAAATTGGCCGTTCAGTGCTTTCAGGTTTTCCATGGTTTTCTAGCTTCAATTGACTCATGATCTCAACTATTGAAATAAATAAATGTTTATTAATGCAAAATTGGCATAGTTATCAAACTGAATAGTAAACAGAATCGAAACAAAAACATAACCAGTGATTGTAAGAAAAACAGAGCACCAAATATATGGGATGTAGTTAAGAAATAAAATAAAAATTTGAAATATTCAATCACTAAACAACCAGATAGTTTATACGGCAGCGAAACGTGGGTATTAAGAGTAGAAGATACTCGTAAGTTACTAGTATTTGATCACAGATGTCTTAGAAATATTGTTCACATTTGTTGGGATCACCGGGTAAGTAATAGTGAGGTTGAACTCAGGGTATTACAGAATGATGGTAAATCAGTTGATGAGATTGTGAATCTTCGTCGACTAAAATTTTTGGGCCACCTGTTACGTATTCCTGAACAGTGTTTACCACGACGTGCAATGCTGACTAGTGTAGGGGATGGTTGAAAGGAAGTTAGAGGTGGTCAAAACAAGACGTGGCATCAGTGCTTGAAGTCACTAACTTCTAGTCTGAGCCATGTTCGTAGATGCACACTACTTGGTTGGGGTCCGCTTGACTATCTCAACCAATGGTTGGAGACTGTGCGTGACATGGTTCAGAATCGATCACAATGGCGTAGGTGTATACACTCTGTCTTCCATATTTTTCTTTCTACCAACTAATTTATTCTTCTTGTACGACGCCCTTATACACAATCTTTCTTTTATAATTTACTACCATTGAATCAACTACTTTTGTGAATTCAATGTTCATCTTTTTGTGCTGATGAGTTATGACACTTTGGACCGATGCATATATATGTACCTGGTTCTATGTTGTAGCTAACTGACTGAATGTGAAATAACAATGAAATGATTTAAATAACTATTGAAAATGAATAGATTATTGTTATGTAAATAAACAATTAAAATAGACACAGAATAAATGATTGTTTATCTTACTTAAATTTTTTTGTTTTATCTAAAATTACACCAGTTATTACTGATCCAAATATACCGGCAATAATCATTGTGAAACCAGCCCAACCAGATAGATTAGAATTCTTATTTCATTAATAATATAAAATGTAAACAAAAATATTAAAGATTAGTGTGATACAAGGTGAATTTCAATGACAATAGTCTTTATCTACATTTTATACAATAGAAAAGAAAAAAACTCAGTTAATCTTGAATAGTTTCAATGAATGTTATGATAAGTTGCGATTAATATTATCCAATTTAGTAAGCGTTTTCTTAGCTAGTTAGTTATCTATGGGATGGAGTGGTTGACATTATGCTCAACCTTCTCCTTGTATCCAGACTTGGGACCGGTAGTAGCCTGAGAGGAGCTCTATGAGAATTTTTGGAGGATGTAAAAACCTTTACATATTTGGGCAGCATCATTGATGAACACGGTAGATCTGATGCAGTTGTGAAGACGGGGATCGGCAAAGCAAGAACAACGTATCTACAACTGAAGAACACCTGGAACTCAAAACAACTGTCAACCAACACCAAGGTCAGAATTTTCAATACAAATATCAAGGCATTTCTACTGTATGGAGCGGAAACTTGGAGAACTACGAAAACCATCATCTAGAAGATACAAGTGTTTATTAACAATTGTCTATGCAAAATATTTCGGATCCGTTGGCCAGACACTATCAGCAACAACCTACTGTGAGAGAGAACAAAACAGATTCCAGAGGAAGAAATCCAGAAGAAGCGCTAGAAGTCGATAGGACACACAAAAATGGGAGAACTTCGCCAAAAGATAGGCTTCTACACGAGAACAATTGTATTTTCTCCACGAGTACCATTGTCAGCATATTCTACCAACAAGTGTAAGATACAAACCTCAAATCAACTACCCATTGGGATGAGAAATAGCTGATGAAATTGGAAGAAAAATGGTACACCTAATGATAAAGGATGCACATTACCAACACATCATAGAGGACCAAAAGATGAATCTACAAAAAGCACTCACATCAGAACATTTGGAAATCTTGACAACAGCCATCGAGATATCATGCAAACGACACAGAGAACAAAGAAGAAAATAACCAAGATCTCAAAATCACTGATGAAAAAACACAAACAACTGCGTGGTCAACCTTTCTAAGCAACCACTACACGACCAAACCATCCAGCTGAGAGAACAAAATCATCTATCTGAGCTACAAATCTTCTCCACCATCACAAGTGCCATTTGTTTTTTGAGTAATGAAAATACTTGAAACAGTTTTGCACGTTGAAATGCATTTGTTTTTAATCTTTAAGGATATGTAATACTCTGATGATTGATACGGTTGACTAAAGAAATGTTCAGTTAGAAAATGTAGTTATCACTAACTGTTCTGAAGAGTAAAATATATGAGGACTGTTACAGCAAAAGTTACATATGAAATTGAACAATTTTATTTGATGAACATATTAGAAATTGAGATTTTCAATGGATTTATTATGTGTCAATATTCCATAATACTCGTGATAGTTTTGACAAGAAAGATTTGAAAACTAGTGGGAGCTCAACTATGATGAGATTGATATTCGGTCATTTCTTTAATTCTAGATATTTTTAATACTAAGAAGCGTTTTAATAATAATTACTTCACAAACAAATCGGGTTCTAATCTTGCGAGGCGGGATAGTGAATGCACACTGATGAGGAGTTCAACAATTGGACGAAACGGTGAGTTTACCAATAAAATTGTAAATGTTTGAATTTTCTATGATTGATTTTATTGACTTTACCTGATGAGTCTTTCATGAAATATTTACACAATCTGAGTAGATTTTCTAAATACTTGAGGTTTAGTTACGTGTTTTGACGCCTGATAACAACGGCTTCAGAAGACTGGAGTTTGGCTGTTTACTAATCACCTTAAAAAATTGCAAGATGATGTACTGTATCAAGGAGATGTTTGGTAAATACACTGTTTAGAGTATTTCTTTCTCTTGCTCTGAGGCGTTTTGCAATTACTTACTTACTTACGCCTGTTACTCCTCGGGAAGGAGCATAGGCCGCTCACCAGCATTCTCCATCCAACCCTGTCCTGGGCAATCCTTTCTAGCTGCGTCCAGTTGTAATTCATCGTTTTCATATCTGCTTCTATTATCCGACGCAATGTGTTCTTTGGCCTTCCTCTTGTTCGCTTCCCTTCAGGATTCCAAGTTAGGGCTTGTCTCGTGATGCAGTTTGACGATTTGCGTAATGTATGTCCTATCCATTTCCATCGTCTTTTCCTAATTTCTTCTTCAGCTGGAAGTTGGTTTGTTCTCTCCCACAGAAGGCTATTGCTGATGGTATCCGGCCAATGGATGTTGAGTATCTTGCGTAGACAACTATTTATAAATACTTGTACTTTCTTGATGGTTGTTGTTGTAGTTCTCCAAGTTTCAGCTCCATACAGTAGAACTGCCTTGACGTTGGTATTGAAGATTCTCACTTTGATATTGGTTGAAAGTTGTTTTGAGTTCCATATGTTCTTTAACTGTAGGAATGCTGTCCTTGCTTTGCCAATCCTTGCCTTTACGTCTGCATCTGAACCTCCTTGTTCATCGATGATGCTTCCTAGGTATGTGAAGGACTCTACATTTTCCAGAGTTTCGCCATCAAGAGTGATTGGGTTGTTGTTTTCCGCTTTGAATTTGAGGACTTTGGTTTTCCCTTTGTGTATGCTGAGGCCTACTGATGCAGAGACTGATGCTACACTGGCTGTCTTCATCTGCATCTGTTCGTGTGTACGTGATAGGAGTGCTAGGTCATCTGCGAAGTTCAAATCGTCTAATTGATTCTGAGCTGTCCATTGAATTCCGTGTTTTCCTTCAGATGTTGAGGTCTTCATAATCCAGTCGACCACCAGAAGAAAGAGGAAGGGAGAGAGTAAACAGCCTTGTCTGACTCCGGTCCTTACTTGGAATGCATCTGTCAGCTGTCCTCCATGCACGACTTTGCACTGTAGTCCGTCGTATGAGTTCCGGATAATGTTGACAATCTTCTCAGGAACTCCGTAGTGTCGAAGAAGTTTCCATAACGTCCTCCTATCCACACTGTCAAATGCAATACTCTCAAAAAAATCTAAGATATGCCCTTCTTTCTGTTCGGCCAATGTAACTGCTTTAACAGGTACACGTAAATTAATAATTACAGTTGGCGGTAACATGAAAGGGTTGCTTATCAACTTTTGATTGAGTTATGTTGTTTTATAGAGAATTAATAGTTTGGCTGCTAAATAAGTTCTGACTAGCGCAATGTTCATTCTCCTGATGATTGCGTTTGCGACATCATCACCTTTGAAGTTGAGATTTAGAGATATTGATTTTTTTTTTATTGACCATAATTATACCAGGTTTTTTTTTGTTTTTAGGTTTTTTATATTTGTCAATAAATTTTTGTGGGTAACATTTGTCTCTTAGGCATTTTTTGACGTTCATCAATTCTGATTCCAGTTTGTCCGTAGTACATATTCTTGCTACCTTATAAAATATTATTTTAATTAATGCCTTCTTGTAACTGATTGTGCAAAAACTACTAATATTCATGTAAAAGCAATTCCAAGTATTCAATATCAACTATACTAATTAACTTGTTGAAAATAGTCTATTGATATTACGTTACAAAGTAGGCAATTAGTTAAGTGACCTACTATTATAGGTATGAATGTTAGATGAATTTGAAGTGATAAGAAACTAAATATTTAGACTTTAGATTAGTTGACACTTGTTGATAGATTAAAATAATTCTGAATAATTGATACTTTGTATTATTCAATCTCATATTATTCTATCATCATTACTGGATTTCATGTTCACATTGATCTATTCAAATGATTATCTTAATTCTAAATAAAAGTTGACAATTATTTAGATAAACAAAAAAAATAGTTTTACATTTAATTAGATTGATTTTAATACTCATAAAAGATCACATGGTTATTTGGTATTTTTATATGTACAATAATGGTATCATTGTTCATTACAATTTACTCTATGTTTATTACATACAATAATAAACATTTGTATACCATGTGATTAAAATTATTCAAAGTCTAGAGAATAATCACAGAGAGAAGTTTTGTGGAGATTGTAATAATTTAATAATTGAATTCATGAGTCAATTGAAGCTAGACCATCATGGAAAACTTGGATGGACATTTCATCCTAGTATAGGACTCCTCCTCAGCAGTACGCATTCATAATCCCCGTGACTAATAGGTCAAGAGAATAGTTTATATTTTGTAATAATACAAGTTAATACAGTATAATATTACACAGTTCATATCACATACTAATCTTAGTTAAATAAAATATAAAAATTAGTAAGTAATTGGATAGTTGTTTCATTCAAATGTGAGACCTCCTATAAACACATACAATTCTATCAGAGATCGAACCTATGACCTTTAGTTCATATGATAAGTCTTCAACCTCTTGGCTAACATCTAATGCATTCGAAAAAGAATACTGAATCAATTTTTAATAATATCAGGAGTTTTGTGAATATTATAGTAATTTCAATAGTTGAGATCATGAGTCAACTGAAGCTAGACCACCATGGAAAACCTTGAAGCACTAAACGGTCGTTTTGTCCTCTTATGAACTCCTCAGTAGCGCGAATCCTTGACCCTGCCTCGTGGGATTCGAATCCAAATGCTATCGGTAGGACCTATCACTAGACGACTGAGTCGGTCGGCCTCCATAAGGTGTATATGTCTAAGTTCAACTAATCCATGAAATTGAGCGACACATCTACCATTGTCTTCAGTGAGTAACTATCTCACAACAGACGTGGTTGAACTTCACTGGTCACGGCTTCTCACTAGAACTCCAGGATATACATCTTGAAGCCAGTCACTAGTGAGCATTTGTTGATTAATATCAGAAGGGATTTTATGGAGATTGTAGTAATTTCAATAGTTGAGATTATAAGTCAATTGAAGCTAGACCACTATGGAAAATCAATTTGAATAAAAAATACTGACTCACTGTGAAATATCCTAGTAAAATACTATTTAATAATGTACCAACAGCATAGTAGACACCAGTAAGTATACCTGAACAATTAAAATTACGAAAACAACACATAATTATGCATATTATATATATATATATATATATATATATATATATATATATATATATATATATATATATATATATATATTACTAATAGCAACAAAAATGTTTATTTAGTTGCCTAATACTGACCTAATTTAATTCTTATTCTTACATAACGACTTTTTAAAGTTAACTGTGCCTCCAAATGCCCTGGTACGGCCGAGTGGGGAGAGTCCGCTCTCCCTCTCCAAATGCTCTCACATGGCCACACGTATATAGCCTTTGTAAGAGAAGTCCTACTCATTGCATTCTCGTGACGAGGGTGTTGTTTACGACATTGAGAGAACAAAAAGCGAATGTCTGGCGCTTTAACCGGGTTGATGGACATGGAGAGTCCACCTAGAGGAGTTGGAAAACCCTGACTTCAAACCGATGGTGCACATGGGATCCAGTATCCTGAAGGAATAGATGGCGTATGAACCAATCGTTGGTCACCGGCTATCATGAGACTGCATCTCCTTACGTTGCTCCACTGCCTTGTGGATCTGAACCTTCAGGTCGAAGGCTCCGAGTGTGCCTCCCTAAGTAAACCACCTGCCTCGGTTTGGCCACCCGGGTAGTATCACAGCTCTCACACATACCAAATGAGATTTGTGTGGCGCATATGTATTCGGTGCCTCCTTGTACTAATATGTATGTGTTAAAATAAATAATAAATAATAAAATTTTATAATCAACTGTTTGTATAGTCATATATTTATATAGAAAAGATAAAATATGGCTAGTAGTGAAATCATATATGACATGCTTTAGTTCTTATCCAAGAGGTACCTATCTAAGATATATATCTATCATTCTCAAAATTGATATTCCCCCTAACATATTATCCAATTAGTTACTGAATTCATAATAGATAATTATTTGTATAGCACGTATAAATTTTAAAACATTATTAAACTGACAGACTACCATTTATATTTAGTACTGATTTCATTCTCAACTGTTTTGACTTTTATATTAATGTAGAGTTTTAAATGAAGGACAAATTGAAAAAAAATACCAGTATAAGGGTTGTGGAGATTATTAAGTTCTGGATTGAGATCATAAAACGATTGATCTTAGACCACCATTGAAAACCTAGAAGCACTTGACGGCCGTTTTGTTTTGTTGTGGTTGCGCAATTTCGTGGGTTGGTTGGAGTTAGACATTAACACCGTTGGATGCCGGCTCAGTGGTCTAGTAAATGTAACGTTCGCGCGCGAGAATAAAGGCCCTGGGTTCGAATCCCCAGAGCAGGATCGTGGATGAGCACTTCTGAGGAGTTCCACAATAGGACGAAACGGCCGTTCAGTGCTTCCAGGTTTTCAATGGTAGTTTAAGATCAATCGGTTTATGATCTCCATCAAAAATTGAAAAAAATCTCTTTAAATTCAATTGGTATTGTTGGTTTGAATCTTCCCATTGATGTTTAGGACTGTAATTAATCAGTCTCTCATTGACATATGTGCATCATATGTGAATTGCCTCGATAAAGCTACAGTTCACGAACATTCTAAGCAAACATAGATGGTGGCTAGCAGTGTAATCCAGGACGCACGCTACTTAGTCCTACCATTCTTAATTTGAGAAACCATTTCAAACATTCCATGAATAGGAATTATAACATAACCCGACCGTTGTTGCTGCCTTGACGTGGTGGTCGGGCTTGCCTATTGTGTTGAAGCAACCGAGCTATACTGGCTAGAACAACCGTTCCTCAAGGTTCTCCCATGTCAGACAGGTCGGTTGAAGAGCGGTAAGACTAAAAGCAACAAATCCAAGGTCTGAAGGCAAAGTCGTACTGCTGACTGTACAGAGATGTGACAACAGTAAGGTGTTTCCTTCAGACAACCAGCATGACAGCGATGTTGCCTTCCCACACGGAGTGGTGGGGTTAGAAAGTTCGACCGTAAAAATGCACACCTCACCATATCCCACGGATATAAAAAGGTCGTGTGTGACCGAACTCAAGCAGTTGACCTTTGGGCATTGCGGTCACGCTCTCAGGCCACTAAGACCACCTCTAATCCAATTTCCTTTTCAGGTACCTCCTCCTGATTGAATCATAACATAAGGAATAAGTTTACGATCATCATGTTATATACTAAATATGATCATATTAAAAACAAAATATACTTCAAATATACTTACCATAACTAATAAACAGTAGAATGAATGGAGTATTTTTAAATAAACGTTTTAATGCCATTGAAATAGTTTCATTTCTAGGATTATTTTGTAATGATTGATATGAATAATTATCTATACTACTGATATCATTTTTATCATCAATATTTATAATAAAATTATTCATTATTGAATCATTCTTATTTAGGGTATTCTGTTTTGTTGATGATAATGAATGTTCATTTGGGCTAAGCGTTGGATATTGTTGATCAACGTCTAATGATTTTGTATAGAATTCTAGGAAAAATATTTAAAAAGAAAACAAGAGATCTACAGTCATTTCAGGAAAACTGTTATAACTTGTGGGTTTGTGACCTTAGCAATGTATAACGTAATGATAACGTCTATTCGGGAACAGCGATTTAACAACCGATCCAATGACGTATAAACCTGTACTAGCAGTCTAGAGTCCTTATCAATCCTTCTTCCTGCCTAGCTATGCCTGTCTGTTAGAGTCCAGAATACCAATCTCAGCCTCTGCGATATGAATCATTATACTTCAAATAGACTGGGTTAATCTACAAACTAAACAGACCACATCACACCATAAAATAGAAAACAACATTTTTATAACATCTAGCTCAAAAGTGGCTGTGAATGTGGGAGACTGTAATTGACAGACTGGGCATAACTCAAGAATTGTAAATCGTATAATCATAGTTCATAGGTCAAAATAAAGCTTATGATAAGAGGTACATGAATATTAACCATTTAGTTATTTAACACTTATACAGTATAAGTCCATAAATGGATTTTAAAAGTTACCATTCATTATTCTCATCATCAAGATATAACAACAACAATATATTACCTTTATCAATATTGTTTTTCTTTTCGTGTAGACTATTATTATTGACTATTGAATGAATTCCATTTGAAGGTTTATTATCAATGGATAATTGATCATTTATATGTAATTTATGAATAACCGATGAACCACTACGTTTATATTGTGCTAAACTTGGTTCAGTTTTAGGTTTTGCACGAAAACCTTAATAGAATTGAATAAAAGATAAAATTGAATTCAAACAATTAATAATTAATTCATAACAAAGCAAAATTAACTCGGTGAGACTATCATTTATGGATGACCATTGAGCGACTCTAAAGTGACATTCAGAATGTACACCTAATAACTAGGACCAAATGATGTTTATAAACCAATGTGAGGGATTATAATAATGATTTACAGTTGATGGTTAATGTTAAGAATTAGATTCTCGGTTTTCATCACGAACTGACATCATTTATAATGCTAAAACTCAATTTATCCAAATGGATGAGTGATTTTTGTACCAAAATCCTAGACCTGTTATCTTATCTCTGATTGGTTCGGCCATAAATTATAGTCTCGCTGTTTATTTCAAATATAATGACAAAGAATTGTTGTTTTATTCTCCTGAGATAACTATTTAAAATCCAAGATTTAACATTCACCATCTTTTAGAACGTAATATAGATTACTGAATTTTTAATTATTAATATTGTATGTATAGTTCAATTTCGTGGATTGGTTCAAGTTAGACGTTAACACGGCTGGATGTCGACCAGCTTAGTGATCTAGAGGTCAAGCGCTTGCGCACAACACTGATAGGTCCTGGGTTTGAATCCTGAGAGGCGGGGTCATGGATGAGCACTGCTGAGGAGCCTCATAAATAGGACAAAACGGCCGTCCAGTGCTTCTAGGTTTTTCATGATGGTCTAACTTCAATTAATTCATTATCTCAACTACTGAAATATTGTATTCATTGAAAAACAACTGGGTTCAGTAATTTGAACTTTTTATTAAGAAATATCAATACATTATAGGTTTTTTAAGACAACAAATTAATATTTCGGTGAATTAGATAAAGTAGATTACTTACATGTCCATAAATCAGAATCGATTATAAAACAATAGAATTTAATTAACTCCTTAATTGAACTAAATCATTTAATGAATTAATTAACTTAAATAAAAATGTATGATTATATAAGTTTCCAATGTTTAAATTATGTCACTCATAAAAGATATGTTCATTAAGTGTTTGTAAGTATTTAGAAGGATTCTCTTCTGGATCTAAGTTTTATGCTATTTGACGCCGAAATTTGTATCATTCAGCTACACACTCAGAGATATCACCATTGGAGTGTCTGTTATAACTTGTAACCATGTTGTTCCTATCAATATATAATGATACAGCCAATCAAAGAACAGTGATTTATCAACAGGATCAATGACGCATAAAACTCGTACGAGCAGTCTAGAAACTTTATTGGTCCTTCCTCCTGACTAACACTGCCTGTTGAGTTCAGAACATCAATCTCAGCCTCTGTGATATGAATCATGTAGTTCAAATATACTGGGTTAATATACAAACATTGTCCATGACCCAGTTGACTTGATGTATTTCACACTGTGACTGACTACTGTCTAGTGATTAATATTGTTGTTTGTCTAATCGTTTAATAATAACTAGATTCTATTGATTAAATTACAATATGCTGACTTTTTCGACAACGCTCATGTTTATTCTCATCTTATCATAAACAAGTTGGCTGATCATATTATTAGCTACCGTTTATTTCTATTAAACTACATATCATTCGCCTTCATTTAGACATCACCAAGTAACTGTTTAAACTTGAGTAATAGGTGAGGATGTTATTTTGATTCCTATCAATTTTAATTGATGAATTGTCATATTTTTCTATGAGGAATGCATATTTTCAACAATTTTCTAGGGATATCTAGTTTTCAGTAGTTATCTAACTAAGAACAGTTCATGATATAAGTCAGTCAGTAACAACGTAGAACTTCGTACATACGTACATCAGTTCCAGTTGACATACCACATTAACACGCAGATACAATTGTCGAGGTAGAAGTAGTAAAAGTATAAGCAGTAATTGGAAAGATGAGGATTTGAAGATGTTATTCAACGAGTATAATTTAGTGAAATAAATTTGGAAAGAGAAAAAAGAGATAAAGAGGATTCAGAAGATTAGAATTTGGGAGAACACAAAAATTGGATGCACTTCCGCCATTGCAAACGATTTTGAGCCATGTCATTCAAGGTCTCTAACCATCGGTTCATGATATAAACTAATGAAAATAATGATTGATGGTTTCTACTTAGCGGGAAATATTCTACCTAAGAAGTTCAATGGTAACACCAATGAATACGACATTAGGTGATGATATTTTATCAAGAATGATGATGATGTGGAATGGTAACTACCGTGATAGTTAGACTTAAGTGATCTTAGTAACTGCTTCCAATCGATTAGTATTTTTAGTCAATATTTGATAGTAGCATATAATTTAGACGATTTGTATGTTTTTATGTTAGACTTTATTCAGAAACTTATGGGATTAGATGACATCATGGTGTACTGTAAATTTCAGGTCTACACTCTACAGTTTATGTACATGACGCAAAATCTAAGTACTTCAGGTTTAAGGACTATCTGTGTTGTAAGTGTTGTAAGGGCTGGTACTATGTCAAGCCCATATAGGTCATTCTAGCCACTGGACAGACCATTCATCTTTCCATTCGTTACAAACGACATTTTTACACTGTCACTTATTCGCTTCTTTAACCCTAACTGTTTTTATATGATCGTGTGTTAATTGCTTACCCTCTTCATCACGTGCATGTAATTTATTTTTATCTGAATATAAATATTGAGTAACACTATCAAATGAAGTTCGCTAACATGCCTTTTCCGATTCGTTCCGTTCCCCTCTATTCTCTTCATTATCTTCACTTTGTTTTTTCTGATTGTCTGTCTGAATCAACGATTGTGTGAAATATACGTATTCAAACTCCATTCTCATATTTGACTTATTTAATTCCGTTATTCAATAATGTGATTTAAGTCGATTATTCTATACGAGGGTAGCTAGGATGTATGTTTCATTAACAATCTGTCACTCAATCATTAAATGATCTAATCGGAGTCAAATGAAGGACCACTAAAGTGTCTACTGTTAAAAAGATCCATACTATGACGAAACATAATGTTCACTATGCACTGAAAAGCTTTTCAATCAACATCTATTCATTAAAAAAAACTAAACTTTAACTGTTATTAATTTCAACAAACCTCTCAATCAAGCATTTTTTCTAACTTATCAATGTCATATTGAAAATAAAACAGAGATTAATTAGATGATCCAGATTTTAAAGTCTTAAAAAAGAATCCTTTCATAGTTCTGAGTATCAAAATCAAATCAAAACCTCGGACCTATCAGTCTAGAGTTTAAGTGCTCTCGCGCAAAACTGATAGGTTCGGGGTTCGAATCTCACTAGGTGGGATCGTGGGTGTGAACTACTGAGTAGTCCCATACCAGGACGAAATGACCGTCCCGTGCTTTCTAGGTTTGTCATGGTGGTCTAGCTTCAATTGACTCATTAATCCAACTACTAGATTTTGATACGCTTTTTTCTTTTAAATCAAGTTCATAACCTTATACAACTGTACAAAAGTTAAAAAAAGTGACGTGTTCGTTTAACAATAATGTGTAACTATGATTGTTCACAATGTAAAACAGTGGTATCGTCTTAGCTTCCAAACTGAACTCATATTACATTAATATTAAAAAACTGAAACGGTAGAAAAGATTTGTGGGTGGGTTTTTTTTCTGTGAGTTGAATGACTTAATCATGAAGCTTTCATTGTTCTTTTGAACAACATCATCATCATAAATTTCAAGTAAGATTGAGGTATTAGAATTTTTCCATGTATAGTTGACAAGTTCTCCTGTCATCTTGATTGGTCAGCGTTGACCTTTAACCTGTAATTGTCTGGACATCTATTTGGATTGTCTCACTTTTCTCCATTATTAAACCGTCCAACTCAAAGAATGAAAATTCACCAAAAAATTGAAAACTAGAAATTAATTGCTCATTCAATCATTTTTCAGTTCAAAACAAGTTGAACCAAACCAATGTGAGAGAGACAGCGAGAGAGAGAGAGTAATTATTTTATAACTCTTTATCGACAGCGAACTAAGTCAATCAGTTATCAGTCAAGAATAACTTGAAACTTAAACTATAAATCCAACTTATAACTAATAAAATAAGAAAACATTAAGTTTATTTTAGTCCGCAATACTGATGGTATTCTGTCAATTTCAATTCTAGAAGAAATCAGTCGTTTTCGGAATAATTCTATGTCAATGCATTTAACAGTAACATTATGTAATGTCAGTCCAAATATCACAGAGGCATAGATTACTCCAAGATTGTTCAAATAGTATTCTGTTAAATACTGATCAAATGTTTCTACAAGATGTTTCAAACCATATAATATGATGGGTAACAATTTGTACTTTAATATTATCTTGATCATGTCAATGGTTTATAACAAAAACTTTAAAATTATGTAATGAATATATTAGACAACTTACCAAACAATACAAATATAAATGGAAGAATATTTAAAGCAGCACTAAAATACAGCATAATCATCATATAATGTTTCATTTTATTAAATAATTCATTCATATTTGTTGTTGGATCAATTTGATTAGTTCCATTTGAACTATACGGTATCGATGGTAATATAAGTGGTGGTACTAGAAAACCAAATGCAACACCAAGCTAAAACAATAATAAAATATGAAAAGAATAATTCTATACAATTAGTCAAATGAACAATCAACATTATTTATAGAACAGATGAAATTTGATGGCTAATTATGGAGTTTATTCCAAGTGTTTCATTTAATTTAGGACTAATTACATGTAACTGTTAACTATGTTCCATCTATACAATATGAAACTTATAACAATATGGATATGATAAAATAATCTATAAAAGATATACATAATGTCAATAGACTGACCAAAATTTAGGTCTCAATGTCATAAAGGTATAATCTTTTAAATTCTATAAAAAATATTAATGGGCAGATTGTTAATACAGTAACATCAGAATACGCACATTTACACACACATAAACACACATATACAACTAACAAAATGTACTGTAAGTAATAGAAACTTTACAATAGTAGGTTAAAAAATTATTTTTGTTCACAAAAGCCTTTCTGATACTGATCAGAATATGATCACTATAGACTGGCTTCAAGAGGTATTTCCTGGAATTCTAGTGAGAAGCAGTGACCAGTATATTTCAACCGTGTCTGTTGTGAGATAGTAACTCACTGAAGACAATGGTGGACGAGTTGCTCAATTTCATGGATTAGTTAAAGATAGATATAAATACCACTGGATGCCTACCGACTCAGTAGTCTAGAGGTTAAGCGCTCGGGCGTGAGACCAATAGGTCCTGAGTTCGAACCTCGTGAGGCGGGATCGTGGATGCACACTGCCGAGGAGTCACATGCGAGGACAAAGCGGCCGTCCAGTGCTTTCATGTTTTTCATTGTAGTCTAACTTCAATCGACTCATGATCTCAACTGTCAAAAGTCTTTTGTAAGAGATCTTTAATCAGTAAGGTACAGAAAAATGATTTTTTTTAATTTTGTGCCATGATACATAGTTTCTAAGATTTGATACAGATACACACTCTGTAGATGAGCTATATATATATATATATATATATATATATATATATATATATCCCTTAGGAAACTAAACCTATCAGTAGTTTATGTCATGTCACTTAGAGATAAAAGTATTCTCTCTCAGCCAATCAGATGCACGTATCATTTGATTGGCGTAGTGTACCACTTGTTGTAAATATTTCATCATTAATTTGAAAAGATTTATTTCTTTTGTTTAAAATTAGAGCTGAAAAATGACCACAATCCACATCCTATTTGATGAATGCAATGACTTCACATCAAAAGTAAACGTTAAACCTTCTACTTTGACCTCCTAGGTTGTGTATTACATTACGGTGTTGAATTTTAACCAAGTGATCTAATCAACTGAACTTATCAAAATTTGTAGATTCTTAATATTTTGTTGATGAGGAATTGAGGAATGCAACTAATTGGTCGATTAGGACTTATCATAAAAGCGATTGATTAATTGCAGTTCAGAAACTTATACAAACTTAAAAGAACGAAATTCCCACTCAATGTATAAGCTATTGTAGATCTGGACTTCGCTGTTCTATAGACAGAGCACTAATGTTTGAAGCAATAAGCACTGCTTTACAATTTCATAGTAAACAGGAACAATGATATGCGAAAACATCTATCTGATAAATTTCAAACAAGACCAAATATCAGTTCTGAGTAAAGGATGCGCATTACATTCTGTTTAGGACTCATTAATTAAATTTACTCCTCATCCCACTATTAATATTCACACTGAGATTCGAACTTAGGTTGTTTAGTATCAGACACCCAACAGTCAACTAGTCAGTTCAAATAGCTATCAACCTATTCAACATGTATGAAAATATTAGATAGGGTTTGTAACTTATTGGTTTTTAAAAATTTAGTGGAGACAAATACCAAGCTCAATTATTGGTCTAAACATCAACATCCACATGCTGGTACACCAAAGCAAAACGTCTCGAATAGAATGTATGTATAGTGAATCCTGGATTTAACTACTAGGCACATATCAAATATATTTTAGTTAAGGTTTTTATTTTTAAAAGCATGTTACAGTGATCCGGACCAAGTATGTACTAACTGTTTCAGATAAGTAAAACTTAAAAATAACGTCAATATACAAATTCACTTGGTATTGTTTACTTGAATCTTCCCATTGATGTTTAGGCCTGCAAGTGATTAGTCTCTTGTAGACATATGTACATCCTATTTGGATTGCCTCGATATAGACTTAATTCACAAGCGGTAGTTCAGTGTACTTTTTAAGTAATAGGTATTATGTTTTGTCTTAGGGTGGACATCAACACTGAAATGTTGATATGCTAGGTTGATGAGTTCCAAGTAGGTTAGAACATGAATCTAGAATATCATTGTTAGTCAAATCCGAGTTCTATTGGAAACATATAATTAAATGATGACATTGAGTTCATTTGTTCGAAATCCATATATTTCGTTAGAGACTGATCAATTATATAGCCTAACATCAATAAACGGGAAAAAAACAGTGTAGACAACACAAACTTACTTGATTCCCAAATACACCAAGTGCAGTAGCCGTTGAGACTTCATTCACTCCAAACCAAACTGCTGCTAAGTGGGCTGGTATACCCAATATACCGGATTGAGCTATTCCACAAATAGTTTGTCCAGCCATAAGTATTGGAAAACCAAGTTTATTACTGAATGGAATAGATTTATTAGTTTGTCCAAACGTTGTTTCATACGTAACTGCACCCGCTATACATTTAATACAACCACCGACTGCATTCAAAGCTGAAGCAACTAGCAGAGTTACACGCAGGCCCCATCTATTCAGTATCCAATTAGAAGGAAATATCAATGGAATATAAGTGAGCATATAAATCATTGACAACCAATCTACAGATATTGTCTTGGTATCTACAGATGACCCTGAATGTAGGAAGGTCAAATAAAAACATCCAACATGTAATTAATCTCTTTAATAAATATGCAAACTGAAGTTATAAAAATACATTTCATAAGGTTAAGCACACATCAGCCTTATTGTTTTCAAAATACGTTTATTTTGTAGTTATATTCTTATCTCCGTTTCCATTCTTCGAAACATATATGGAAATCTTCAGAGCATAAATTAGATACATGTCATGTCACTTTACGAATTATTGTTCATTCGCTCCTCAATTTTGTACTCATTAAATTATAATTTAATCTTTATTCAGTCAGTCAGTCAGCTACAACGTAGGACCAGGCACATATATGCATCGGTCCAAGTTGCCATACCTCATTAGCACAGCAAGATGAACACCGGATTCATAGGAGTGGTTAAGCCAATGGTGGTAATATATAAAATAAAGATCGCATATAAGCATATAATACAGGAAGAATTAGTTCGTAGAAAGATATAAAGTGATTTTAATCTCTTAGTTTAAGGGAAGACAAAGAGTGTATACACCTATACCTATCTATATTACCCTCTGGTGACGTTCATCAGTCATCAATCAAAAATTGTTCCTTCATGATAAAACTCTAGTGAACGTATTGATACTGGCAAAGCCTAATTTACGTGCTCAATAAATACGCTGACCACGTATCACGAGAACGTGAATAATAGAGTATACATTCAAAATCAACCTGTGGAGAAATATGTTTGATTCATTATCCAAGGCTTACAAATACAAATTAGAATGTTATCTCCAAGTGTCTGACATATTTATTCACTTATGAGCTATATATTACTTAATTATATTGAAATGTTATATGTGAGTAGTAATAACCCCCAAAAATAAAAAATGATTTGGCAACTAAGCGATCACTACACTACATGTGGAGATAAACATGCTTTTTCAACGTTTAATAAAAGTGTGATATTGTGTATTTTCGACCAGTTTACCGTTCATTTAGTGCATCATTGTTGTAGATGAGGGCGTAATCTTTACTAATGAGCGAGACAGAAGATCCTGAATTCGATTCTCGAATGCAAAGTGATTGATGAGCACTTCTGTGAAGCCCTAGGATAGAAAGAAACGGTTGTCTAGAGCTTCTAGATCTTCACTGTTTGTCTAACTTGAGTCGATTCGTAATTTCAATAAAATATCTACATATGTTTTCGGTTAATAGCCTACTCTACTGGAGGCCATCACAACTTGCCGGATGTAAAAACCTAGGTTAAATCTTGAAACAAGGTCCTGTGTAAAAACTATAGTCTTACTGTAAATATACACACTCTTTAAATAAACAGAAAAATCCTAGATATCATATATACATTCAACATTGAAAGGGAATTACGCTACAAACTTACAAACATATATCTCATCCTTTACATTACACATGATTGATTTATGATGAAAATTAAAACGGATCAACAACAACAACAACAACAAACTTGGAAAATCATAACAAGTTTATATTGTTTATAACTAGTAATCAGTTAGTCAATGACCTGATTCAACATATCCTACTCAATGTTTCATGGATCATAACATATTTTTTCAATCGACCATATTATTATACAGATTAAATTATTTAATACTGTATATAATAATACATGTTTATTCGTTAATAGTAAATTTAAGAAACATAGTATTGAAAGAGAGTGAGATAGAGAGTGCAGTAAGTGAGTGAGTAGGTAAGTGGATGATGAGAGATACAAAAGTGATCTAACTAACTAAGTTTACTTAGTCAATGAGTATTGAAAACAATTCACATTACCATTTAGTTCACTGTTATTATTATTATTATTAAAATAAAGTTCATCATGTAGTTTTTTTTGTGTATCTTATAGTATACCAATGTCAATCAGATTTGTACCAGGTCACGGAAACATTCTATTTTTTATTATTTAAAGTTTCTATTCATATCATGGTTTCAAATATGAATTAGTTCTTTTTAAAATGAGAAACATGAAAATTCTGGGAATTATTAACCAAGTTGAATTGTGACTAATATCAGAATCTTAGCGGTATACTATTGTTGTGGTGTGTTACTTATATTGACATAAGTAGTATATGATGTTAGTCATGAACAGAAGGTCTGGCATCAGAGAGACAAAAGGATAGATCAGTATAGAATGGAATAGGATGCAATTTGTATGAAAATGCAAGAACAATGAAGTCTGTGTGATTTTGAGACAATCGATTGACATTTTGCAAATTGAGCATTCACTGTTTGATTTTTAGATTTGTTAACAAGTCCTGTAATTTTGTGTCCGCATTGGTGTTCTTGTTCACTACATTGTTATGTCCCGATAAGAACACTGAGCGGTAATTTTTGGGATCCATTTATGGACCAGTAGTATGTGTATATTTTTATCATATAACGGTTAAATAACTAAACTATGAATATTCGTGTATCTCATATTAAGAGCTTCATTTTGATCTATGAACTATTATTGTACGACTTACCATTCTTGAGTTATGCTCAGTCTGTCAACTACAGTCTCTCACATTCACAGTCATTTTTGTGCTAGATCTTATACAAATGTTGTTTTCTATTTTATGGTGCGATCAGGCCTGTTTGATTGGTATATAAACCCCGTATGTTTGAAATAAATGATTCATATTGCAGAGAATGAGATTAGTGTTCTGGACTTAACTGGCTGGGCTAAGAGGAAAGCAGGACTAATAAGGACTTTAGACTGCTCCCAAGTGTTCTACGCGTGCTTGGTCCGGTCGATAATTCACTGCTCCCTAATTGACGGTCACAAGTTATAACAACTATAGTCCTGATTGAAAATCATCAATTGAACTAATTTACTATCATTCAAAAATTGATTCCCATAAGACAGTTTGAACTCATAACCTACTGCTTTAAATGATACTAACTCATATTCACTAACCTATGAAGTTCAGACAATCAGTAAATTTAAAGTATAGATTTATGGAAATTGTTGAATTTTTATTAAGATGATGAACTGATCAATGTTAGACCATCATTAATTCCAGGTTTTTAATACTTGATCTAACATTGATAGGTTCATGATCTCAATGAATAAATTAATGTAGGAATTCATGCTGTTTATCCACTGTGTAACAAATACAGTAACGAATTTATTTGACTTATTTACATTTATATGAATGTACAAGTGACATGAGGACTAAATTTCAGATAAATAGACCGAATTTTAAGTAGTTTCATTCATTTGTAACTTTCGATACATTCTACAATCTAAACTATCTTCTCAACTGATCTCTAAATGTTCTATCAATATCGTGCTTTCAATGCACTGATACTCTTTAATCCGTACGATAAGTGTTGCAACTTTGACGCAACGTTCTCTTACACATAAGTTACAAACAACCTTGATAGTAGCGTCTATTACAATAGTAATTCTTTTTCTTTACAAAGATAACTACCTTTACTGGTTACTTATTTATGTGGATATAGTATTAAATTTTTATCTGAACGTACAATATAGGTAGTAAATTATATATTAAAATAAATGATATCGACTTATACCTTAACGTTGAATGTAACTTTAACTTGGCAATCAGGTCCGAATATCACAATAACCTAATGAAACAGCACCATATGGAACATATTCTTTTAGATCCTACCACACAACGTAGGTCAGATGAAGAATGATAAAGTTAAAAAGCAATAAACTCATCACCTGATAGTTTATTCGTGAAGGTATTTTTATAGGGGTGTGACGAATATATTGTGTCTTCCTTAAACAAATAAGATCTAGAGATAAACTGCCTTCCCATAATGGAAGGAAAGGACTGGTCCTAAAGTGACACACCTCATATTATCTTGTAAACTTCTTTCAACGTATGAAACTAACTTATCAAAAACTACTCATTAAACATCAGTGTGAAAGGCCATAATCAGTTGTTCTTTGGACATCATAGTCACATTCTCAAGTAGTTAAAACCATCGCTAATATAATTTCCATTTTAGGTAAATCAAAAAATCCATCCTCTCATGGTTTGAACAAGGTGAAAGTGAAAATCACTTTCATACCTGGAATGACATTCGAGATCAGTTAAAACACATATTATTTGTCTAAATTCATATAATCTCATGTTTGTTGTTATCAGAAGTATGATTGTATGCGAATTATTACCCTCTCAATAATCTATAATGTCAGTGGTAGACCAATTCATCATTTTATTTCTCAAGAAAAAACCAATTTCAAAGTCAATCATTGTGAATTAGTTTCAACACACTTTTTTTCCGACAGTTTGTTAAACCCAAGATTGTAACTGACAATGAACAACCATAAGAAAAAAATTTAAAAAAATCTTTGTATACAATATCATTCATAACTGACAGGAATATATATATGCTGTAATATTGAGGTCATCTTAGTATTGAGAAAAAATAAATACTATTCCTCAAGTACATTTAATATCATTTAACTTGAGAATGATATAAGTTCTTTTAAATGTGTAAGTTGATACATCTATGTGTATCTACAAATTCAGCTGCTCTTATAGGGAAAGCTATATTGGGTGCATTATCAGACAACGAGTTAGCGAACACTTCTCTTCGTGGTTGGGAAAGAGTACTAGCTCTGTTCTATCACACTTAATCGATAGCGATCATTTAGTAGACAAAAATAGGTCATTTAAAGTGATTTATCGCATTCTTACTAGTTTTCTTTACGGGGTTCGATCTAATCTCTTACACTGCAGATGCTATAGAAATTCGAGCCAATAATCCAAGTCTTTGCATTCATAAGAAATTTGTAACCCCCTTAGCCTTAGTAAATGATTTTATTGACTAATATTATTCATACTCTTTGTTCGTTTTTCTTCACATTCTCCCGCCTAGTTTTGCCCCAGACATACACATTACTGTCCAATTATCTAAACACTTTTTGTTGCGTAATCTTATCTTTAGAAATGTCATCTCACTGTCTAGAGGTTAAAAGTTCACATGTAGGACTGAAGGTCAGGGATTTGATTCTTGTGTTGTGGGATCGTGGA